TTGAAGAAGGTTGTCATTTCCAACACTTCAGCCCTCCAGGTGTCTTCGACTTCAACTCTCACAATTCATAACACCCAAAGGCTGTTAAGAATTGTGGGAGTTGGAGTCCAAAACACCTGAAGGGCCCGTTTGCCCATGCCTGCTCTATACTATCAAATGAATGCAGTTTGAAACAACTTGAACTGCCATGCCTCAATGCTATGTAATGTGGGAGTTGTAGTTTGGTAAGGCCCCAGTATGCTTTGGTAGGGAAAATTAAAGACTTTGTAAAATTACAGTTCCCATGATTCCATAGCACTGAAGTGGTATCAAACTGCAATAATTCATATAATTATAATTCATATTGTTTTCCTACAGAACCTTGATACTGTTTTGGAATACAGCGCCTCAGGGTCCTTCCACACAGCTGTATAAAATCCACATTGAAGTGGATTATATGGCAGTGTGGACTCAGATAACCCAGTTCAAGGCAGATATTGTGGATTATCTGCCTTGATATTCTGAGTTATATGGCTGTGTGGGAAGAGCCCTCTGCCTGCATGTGATTTAGGTTTGATCTATATTGCCATAAAGTCAATTTCAGAATGTTGGTTAATGGCTTTGGATTATATGAGTCTACACCAGGCATGGGCAAACTTGGTCCCTCCCTGTTTTGGACTTCAATTCCCACAATTCCTAACAGCCTCAGGCCCTTTCCTTTCCCTCCTCTGCCGCTTAAGCCTGCGGCTGTTAGGAATTGTGGGAATTGAAGTCCAAAACACCTGGAGGGCCCAAATTTGTTCATTCCTGGTCTACACTGCCACATAATCCTGCGCAAAGCAGATAATCTGGATTTTATATGGCAGTGTTGAAAGGGCTCTAAACCACCAAGACTCAAAGCTATAAAGCCGTGAAAAGTTGTGGTTTTACAAAGCCTATGGCTTTCTCTGCCACTTTGTATGTCTCCTCAAAGGACAGTTCCCATTCACTCCTTATTTATTTATTTATTTATTTATTTATTTATTTATTTATTTATTTATAGCATTGAGCCATGGCTACTCAAAAAACTATATTAATTCTACAGCACACTAGCTGCGCTGGAGGGCCCCTTCCACACAGCTGAATAAAACCCCACATTATCTGTTTTGAACTGGGATATATGCCAGGTGGACTCAGGGTCCTTCCACACAGCCCTATATCCCAGGATATCAAAGCAGAAAATCCCGCATTATCTGAGTGTGGACTCAGATAACCCAGTTCAAAGCAGATATTCTGGGATATAGGGTTGTGTGGAAGGGCCCCCAGAATATCAAGGCAGGGAATCCCACATTATCTGAGTGTGGACTATGGGCCTTTCCACACAGGCCTATATCCCAGAATATCAAAGCGGAAAATCCCACAATATCTGCTTTGAACTGGGTTATCTATGGGCCCTTCCACACAGCCCTGTATTCCAGAATATAAAGGCAGAAAATCCCACATTATCTGAGTGTGTGTACCCAGAAAACTCAGTCCTGAGCAGATAATCTGGGATATAGTGCTGTGTGGAAGGGCCTTTGGATATTCCAGTTCAAAGCAAATATTGTGGGTTATTCTGCCTTGATATTCTGTGTTATATGGTTGTGTGGAAGGGCCCATAGCCACTCTTGAGATTATTGTTTTTAATATATTTTGTGTTGAGATGGGGCAGAGAATGCTTTGGCCGGAGAAGGGTATACATATATGTATCTCTATCTATATATATAAAAATGCTCTGTACATAATGAGTACCTTAAAAACAAAAGAACCAATGAACGAAATCACACCAAATTTGGCAACAAAATGTCTCACAACACAAGGAGTGACCATCACTCAAAAAATTATGATTTTGTCATTTGGGAGTTGTAGTTGCTGGGATTTATAGTTCACCTACAATCAAAGAGTATTCTGAACTCCATCAATGATGGAATTGAACCAAACTAGGCACACAGAACTCCCATGACCAACAGAAAATACTGGAAGGGTCTGGTAGGCATTGACCCTGAGTTTGGGAGTTGTAGTTCACCTACATCCAGAGAGCACTGTGGACTCAAACAATGATGGATCTGGACCAAACTTGGCACAAGCACTCAATAGGCCCAAATATGAACACAGATGGAGTTTGGGGAAAATAGACCTTGACATTTGAGTGTTGTAGTCACTGGGATTCACAGTTCATCTACAATCAAAGAGCATTTTGAACCCCACGAATGACAGAATCAGGGCAAACTTCCCACACAGAACCCCCATGACCAACAGAAAATACTTAAGGCCATCCAGTCCAACTCTCTTCACCAGGGCAAGAAAACATAATCAAAGTCCTCCTGAGCCATCCAGCCATAGATAGATAGATAGATAGATAGATAGATAGATAGATAGATAGATAGATGATTCACACACACACACACACAAATATAGTATTATAGATTTGAAAGGGACCCTTAAAGAAGGAAATGATATGTTGCATGTTCCAGGGTGGGCAAACCAGACACTCTCCACATCAACACTGACAAAGAAACAACAAGAAATACTGTTTACCCACAAGCATAAGGAAATTACATATATTAGAAACCAACACTTTCTCGTTACTTTATTTTCCAGATCACTAGACTGAGCCACAGCAACGTGTGGCAGGGGACGGCTAGTATATATATATATATATATAGAGAGAGAGAGAGAGAGAGAGAGAGAGAGAGAGAGAGCAGTAAATGGGGGAATCGAAAAGGACAATCTAAGAGGGAGCCCTCTTTTACTATAAGGCCCTTCCACAAATCCCAGAATATCAAGGCAGAAAATCCCACATTATTTGAGTATGGACTCAGATAACCCAGCTCAAAGCAGATACTGTGGGATTTTGTGCCTTGGTATTCTGGGTTATAGGGCTATGTGGTAGGGCCAATGGACACTCTTGAGATAATTATTTTTAATGTATTTTGTGCTGAGATGAGGCAGAGTAGGCTTTGGCTGGAGAAGGCTACAGATAGAGAGAGAGAGAGAGCAGTAGATGGGGGAATTAAAAAGGACAATCTAAGAGGGAGCCCTCTTTTGCTATAAGGCCATTCCACACAGCCCTATATCCCAGAATATCAAGGAAGAAAATCCCACATTATCTGAGTGTGGATATTGACAAGCTGGAATGTGTCCAGAGGAAAGCGACTAAAATGATAAAAGGTCAGGAGAACAAGCCCTATGAGGAGCGGCTTAAGGAGCTGGGCATGTTTAGCCTGAAGAAGAGAAGGCTGAGAGGAGATATGAGAGCCATGTATAAAGATGTGAGAGGAAGCCACAGGGAGGAGGGAGCAAGCTTGTTTTCTGCTTCCCTGGAGACTAGGACGTGGAACAATGGCTTCAAACTACAAGAGAGGAGATTCCATCTGAACATGAGGAAGAACTTCTGACTGTGAGAGCTGTTCAGCAGTGGAACTCTCTGCCCCGGAGTATGGTGGAGGCTCCTTCTTTGGGAAGTTTTAAACAGAGGCTGGATGGCCATCTGTCAGGGGTGATTTGAATGCAATATTCCTGCTTCTTGGCAGGGGGTTGGACTGGATGGCCCATGAGGTCTCTTCCAACTCTTTGATTCTATGATTCTATGACTCAGATAACCCAGCTCAAAGCAGATATTGTGGGATTTTCTGCCTTGATATTCTGGGATATAGGGCTGTGTGGAAGGGCCCATGGACACTCTTGAGATAATTATTTTTAATATATTTTGTGCTGAGATGAGGCAGAGAAGGCTTTGGCTGGAGATAGATAGATAGAGAGAGGGGGGGCAGTAAATGGGGGAATTGAAAAGGACAATCTAAGAGGGAGCCCTCTTTTGCTATAAGGCCCTTCCACACAGCCCTATATCCCAGAATATCAAGGCAGAAAATCCCACATTATCTAAGTGTGGACTCAGATAACCCAGTTCAAAGCAGATATTGTGGGATTTTCTGCCTTGATATTCTGGGATAGAGGGCTGTGTGGAAGGGCCCATGGACACTCTTGAGATGATTGTTTTTAATATATTTTGTGTTGAGATGAGGCAGAGAAGGCTTTGGCTGGAAAGGCCATATAGATAGATAGAGAGAGAGAGGGCTAGTATATATATATATAGAGAGAGAGAGAGAGAGAGAGAGAGAGAGAGAGAGAGCAGTAAATGGGGGAATCGAAAAGGACAATCTAAGAGGGAGCCCTCTTTTACTATAAGGCCCTTCCACAAATCCCAGAATATCAAGGCAGAAAATCCCACATTATCTGAGTGTGGACTCAGATAACCCAGTTCAAAGCAGATATTGTGGGATTTTCAGCCTTGATATTCTGGGATATAGGGCTGTGTGGAAGGGCCCATGGACACTCTTGAGATAATTATTTTTAATATATTTTGTGCTGAGATGAGGCAGAGAAGGCTTTGGCTGGAGATAGATAGATAGATAAGATAAGATAAGATAGATAGAGAGACAGAGAGCAGTAAATGGGGGAATTAAAAAGGACAATGTAAAAGGGAGCCCTCTTTTGCTCTAAGGCCCTTCCACACAGCCTTAAATCCCAGAATATCAAGGCAGAAATCCCACATTATCTGAGTGTGGACTCAGATAACCCAGCTCAAATCAGATATTGTGGGATTTTCTGCCTTGGTATTCTGGGTTATAGGGCTATGTGGTAGGGCCAATGGACACTCTTGAGATAATTATTTTTAATATATTTTGTGCTGAGATGAGGCAGAGAAGGCTTTGGCCGGAGAAGGCTACAAATAGATAGATAGATAAGCTAGACAGAGAGAGAGAGAGCAGTAAATGGGGGAATTAAAAAGGACAATGTAAAAAATCCCACATTATCTGAGTGTGGACTCAGATAACCCAGCTCAAAGCAGATATTGTGGGATTTTCTGCCTTGATGTTGTGGGCTTTAGGGCTGTGTGCAAGGGCCCTTAAGCAGAGAGAGGGAGGCTTGGGAGGGGAGTAAGCCTGGCCTCGCGGAGGCGGGGCCGCTCGGTTTCCATGGGAACGGGCTGGAAGCCCAGCCAGCGCGCGCATCGCTCTTTTGGCGAGCGGCGTTCCCCCTCGCGCTGCCTTCCTTCGCTGCTGCTGTTGCTCTTGCCGTTGCCGCCGCCATGTTGATGCTGGGCCGAGGGCTGGATGCCCGGTAAGTGCTCCGTGGAAAGGGAAGAGCTAGAAGGAGAGGGAAGCGCGAGCCTCTTCGGGTGGAAGGGATGCGGTGCGTCAGTTTAACCCCTTTGGTTGGGCCTGCATCCGAGAGGCCAAAGAGATCTGACTGTCGGCCTTCAGGCCTGTGAGGGAGCCGCCTCTTGCCTGCGCATGCGCCGTGGAGGCTTTCCTCCATCGTATTCCATCTGAACATTAGAAAGAACTTCCTGACTGTGAGAGCCGTTCAGCAGTGGAACTCTCTGCCCCGGAGTGTGGTGGAGGCTCCTTCTTTGGAAGCTTTTAAGCAGAGGCTGGATGGCCATTTGTCAGGGGTGATTTGAATGCAATATTCCTGCTTCTTGGCAGGGGGTTGGACTGGATGGCCCATGAGGTCTCTTCCAACTCTTTGATTCTATGATTCTATGATTCTATTCGGGTTCCTCTCTGCCCTGTAATAATAACAATGCCGTTTGACGCCCCCGCCAGGGCGCTCAGTGCTATGGGCTCATGGAAGTTGAGGTTTGGCCGAGAAGGGCAAACATCATGTAAAACTACAACTCCCAGGATTCCGTAGCCATGGCAAATTTATTTATTTATTTATTTATTTGGGGTTCTTTTACCCCGCCCTTCTCACCCCGAAGGGGACTCAGGGCGGCTTACAAAAGCAAAGGCACAATTTGATGCCTGCATCACAAAACAATCATACACATAATTACATCAATTCACAGTTAACAACAGTTCATGCATTATAACCATAAAATCAATAAAACCAATACAAACCCAATTCCTCCTCCTACATGGTCAGCGTTCGCTAACTCATACTTCTAGGTTTCCGTTCCACTTCGTCAATCCTGTTGGTCTTCCTCGCCTGATTGTCTTATTTAATTGCCAGAGTGCCCAAAGGCCTGGTCCCATAACCACGTCTTCACCCTCCTCCTGAAGGAGAGGAGGGATGATGATGCCCTGATTTCCCCCGGGAGTGAGTTCCACAGGTGAGGGGCCACCACTGAGAAAGCCCTGCTCCTCGTCCCCACCAGCCTCACTTGTGACAGTGGTGAGGTCGAGAGCAGGGCCTCCCCAGATGATCTCAGACTCTGGGGTGGGACGTAGAGGGAGATACGTTCGGACAGATACACTGGACCGGAACTGTACAGGGTTTTGTAGGTCAAAACCAGCACCTTGAATTGTGCTCGGAACTGAAGGCAGCCAGTGGAGCTGGCACAGCAGGGGGGTGGTATGCTCCCTGTATGTCGCTCCGGTGAGCAATCTGGCTGCCGCTCGCTGGACTAGTTGAAGTTTCCGAACAGTCTTCAAGGGCAACCCCACGTAGAGAGCGTTGCAGTAGTCTATTCGGGATGTAACAAGAGCGTGGACCACCGTGGCCAGATCAGACTTCCCAAGGTACGGGCGCAACTGGTGCACAAGTTTTAATTGTGCAAAAGCTCTCCCAGCCACCGCTGAGACCTGGGGTTCCAGGCTCAGCGATGAGTCCAGGATCACTCCCAAGCTGCGAACCTGCGTCTTCAGGGGGAGTGCAACCCCATCCAGCACAGGCTGTAACCCTATACCCTGTTCGGCCTTATGACTGACCAGTAGGACCTCTGTCTTGTCTGGATTCAAATTCAATTTGTTAGCTCTCATCCAGTCCGACACAGCAGCTAGACTCCGATTCAAGGTCTAGACAGCCTCCTTGGTGACAGGCGAGAAGGAGTGACATATCTGGACATCATCTGCGTAGAGATAACATCTCAGTCCGACAACTCCACTGACTCCTAATACATTTCAAAAATAAATGGCACTTGTCTTTTTTTCAATGTTTATTAGGTTATATGCTCCATCATTTTGTATTATTATATGTATGATATATATTTTGTATTATTTGTATCAAATGTTTGCTTTTTTATGTGTATATTGCCCTGAGTCCTTCCAGGGAGAGGGCAGTCTAGAAATAGATTATTATTATTATTATTATTATAAAATACTTATTCAGCTATATCCATTATTAATATGGTACATTTTATATCTAAATGTCTGTTTTAAACTTCACTTTAAACAAGCAAAGATTAAACTGCAGGTATTCTCAACTTTGTAGCCTGATATCATGTTCTCTGACCTTTCTGTTTTAACTTTTTTTGTCTAGGGACAATCAGACAAAACAAGCACGAGAAGCTGTAACAAATGTGGAAAAACATTTTGGAGAACTGTGTCAAATATTTGCAGGCTATGTACGAAAAACTGCCAGACTACGAGACAAAGCAGATCTTCTAGTAAACGAGATACATGCATATGCAGCTACAGAGACCCCAAATTTAAAGCTTGGGCTGAAAAATTTTGCAAATGAGTTTTCCAAACTTCAGGATTATCGCCAGGCAGAGGTATATAATTTAATTTGCACACTTTGTTGTATAATATTAGTATCTTAAGTTATTGACTATTTTTTGTGTGCATTCCTTTAAGCAATTTAGACTGAACAGATGGAATCAATAATAAAGTCCCTGTTACAACATTCCAATATTTGCAAAAAGAAATGGATGAGTGTGAAGCACTGAGCAAGTTGACGAGCTTTTAACGTTGATTTCTGTGTTGTTCTGAATCCAACACTAGGAAACAACAATATCTGTTAATAAATCAACCAGAGCAAACTCTTTAAGATATAACAATTGCTTTTTCTTCTACTAATGACAAGGTATTTTTCAATTTTGCTGCATCTACACAAATCAAACTTTTATCATGAAACATTATCTGGCACAGTTGATGAAGCTAATAGTATGTTGCATCTTAAAATCCCGTTCATTTGATTTTGATGGATTAATGGAAAAAGAAATGAGAAACTATTGAACATAGTTCTCCTTCTATGTGTTACCTTTATATATTACATGCATTCTATTGCTACTTTATGTCAATTCTGTATCTGTGTTTGGTACAAATTTTATATATATATTTGTTTTTATCTGTGTAATTAATTATATATATTTTATGTTTGTTTGTTTGTTTATTTATTTATTTACTTTGCTTATATACTGCTGTATCTCAAGCCCGAAGGCGACTCACAGCGGTTCACAAACAGTAAAAACAGTAGAAACAGCAGTGGTTCCATACAACATATAACAATTGACTTAACACATTATCCATAAATTACCAATAAGCAATTACAATGCACAATTATTACAAAAAACAACCGTACCCAATCTTCTCATCATCCAAGCGTAGTCCAGGTTCGTCGTCCATTGTTCCATTCCTATGTTCCATTACCAGATTGCACCAAATTACTCAAACGCCTGCACAAACATCCAGGTCTTCACCTTTTTGCGGAATACCATTAGAGATGGTGCTAGTCTAATGTCCGTAGGAAGGGCGTTCCACAGCCGAGGAGCCACCACCGAGAAGGCCCTATCTCTCGTCCCCGCCAGCCGAGCTTGAGAAGCAGGCGGGATCGAGAGCAGGGTCTCCCCGGAAGATCTCAAAGTCCTGGTGGGTTCATAGGCAGAGATGCGGTCAGATAGGTAGCTTGGGCCGGAACCGTTTAGGGCTTTAAAGGCCAACGCCTTTATGTGTTTTTGACTTTGTTATACCCTGCCTCGAGCCACCTGGAGAGGCGGGTAATAAATCAATTTATTATTATTATTATTATTATTATTATTACTATCATCATCTTAATATTATAAATTAACATATATTTCCTCAGCATTATAAAAAGGCATTTGTCCTGACACCTCAGTTCTTTTGCAATTTAATCTATCACTTAAACATTAATCATCAATATTAAGTAAGGAAATGCACAATTTAAATATGTGTCGTACTGAGAGCCAGTTTGGTTTCCTTATTCAGAACTTGAGGTATTCTCCAACCATTAATTGTTTTGTCCATTTCCCTGATATTGAAGTTTCATAGCCAAGGTGATTTGTTAAAATTATTGTTCATTACTTCTTCTTACAGGTAGAAAGACTGGAAGCTAAAGTAGTTGAGCCTCTGAAATGTTATGGGACAATCATAAAACTTAAAAGAGTAGGTGATGGATTTTCTTTTTCTTTATATATTTCAAAGTATTTCCTTTCTGAGAAGATAGATCTCGAAGCATCTAAGCATTGTTTTAAGTATAAAAACATCAAATAAATCAGATCTTGTATCTGCAAAAAGAGCATTTGATTACATTTTCCAGACATGAACCTGGTCTCATCCACTGAAGCTAAATGGCATAGAATTCAAAAGAGCCAGGCCTCCTTTTATACAATGGCTACATTTAGTTATTCTATCTTATCTTAATAAAAAAACAAATGGGCAACAGAGACCATTTGAAGTACAAACAAATTAATCCAGAAAGCTTTTAATTAATGAATTTCCTGGTTTCCAAGCTATGAAACTAACATTACCAGCATTATATCACACTGAAATATTAAATTAACTTAAAATCATAATTTTCTTGTGATTACTGTTGTTTCCTTACTTGCACAAAATTGTGATTAAATAGAGACTTCCAGGATTGCTAGCTTGCACTGTAGTAAGATAAATGGCCTATGTGAGTGACATATGTTTTCATTTATTTATTTATTGCCATTAAAAGGAATCTGACATATAAGTAAAAATAGGTCAGTGAATACATTTCTAATTACTAGTTGCTGAAGAACATCAATAGGAAAGAGCTATTGCTTTTATGTGGTGCTTGTGAGTAGCTGTTTTTTTTTAATGTAGGTATATTTAATTTGGAAGCTGTAATGTTTGGGTGCAATATATAATCTAATTTATTAATACTCTAAGTGCATGCCTTTTTATTAGATAAATTTAAACAGCCAAGCCTTTTGGGACAGTGCAGTAAGGCAATAATAGGAAACCCACTTCGCAGATTGGAGCTGACATGGTGTTTTGAGATGGTTTTAAACAACTGATTTTAAAGTAGATATAACTGATTTTAATGTTCGTGTATATTTATAGTTATTTTATGTTCCGGCATTGAATACTTGCTGCATATATGTTGTGCTCCGGCCTGAGTCCCCTTTGGGGTGAGGAGGGCGGAATATAAATGTTTCAAATAAATAATAAATACTGTGTTGATTAGACTAGTACATTCGTTATCAAGAACTCTCAAGTTTTTTAATCTGTACCTTTATACATTGTATAGTTTTAAAAGTTGTGAACGGATTCGGATCTCAGTCTTGAAATAAAAACAAGGTAGAAATAACAACAATAGTAATAATATCCTCTGAAACACTCTGTTGCAACCCAGATTCTATCTTATGAATATAATTGCAGGAGGATCTCAAAGCAACGTTAACGGCAAGGAATCGAGAAGCAAAACAGTTGTCTCAGCTTGAAAGGACACGCCAGCGAAATCCATCAGATCGGCACATTATTGTATCTTTTGCACACAGCTAAGTAACAAGTAGACTGTTTACTTTTAAAACAGTGTGTGTGTGTGTGTGTGTGTGTGTGTGTGTGTGTGTGTGCGTGCAGGAAATCCCTTCACAGCCACTTGTCATCTCTCCAAATATTCTGTGGTTGTTTAGAAGGAATTATCAAACAGTGAGGCTCTTGAAAAAAAAGGCTAGAATCTTTTCTTCCTACTATTTTATTGAAAGCTGATTTTTTTTTTCTTTAAAAAGTAAAACAAGCAATTATTTCTATGAATGTCTTATAAAACCCAGTATATATGACTTTGTGTACTTTAAATATCTCAAAAAACATTTTCCTTAATTTGGTACTCTTTCCGTCACTGCTAAATACAGTCTCAGGTAGGTCTTCTATTAGAGAAAACACAAAAGTTTAGCACGGATACTTTTACTTTATTTATTTATTTGTACTCTTCTGGGTGAGTGGATCGTACACCAGCTGTATCTTTATTATAATTGGTTGCTGTCGTGCAGAGAGATGTTATTGGTTGCTGTTCATTAAAAATTCATTACTGCTAAAAACTTTTGATCCAGCGAAACAATAAAAAGTAGGAAGTGAAAAGTCTGGTATTATTTTCAGTTCTACTCTTTCTTGTTTCACTAGATAAAATGTTTTTTGCATTATTGGATTTTTAATGAACTATCATGTTTTTTTTTAAAAAAAAAGCTTTTGACAAATGAAATGAAATAGCCTTTCACTTCCTCTCTGGAATATAAGAAAGTAGTGTAATGTCAAGCAACAATAAAGCTTATTGTTTCTTCCATGCATGCAATGATGTTTTCCATACGCTACTGTCCTTCGCTGTTCACACTTCCTCTTAGTGTTTAAAATTCCTCATCAAAAACTACCCTTAGTATACTATAACCACACCAGCCATTTGTAGTAAATAGCTGTTTTCAATACTAGTTTCTAATGTAATCATAAACCTTTAAAGTCCTAAGTTTTTGCATTTACCTAATGATATTTCTTCCATCATTTTCCTTTCTGTTTCCTCTGCAACATGTTATAATTCTGTCAGCTTCCTTGTGTTTTTATCTTCTGTGCTACCTTTGGAGTGTTTTTTTTCTGCAGCATGCTTGATCTTGAAACCAACTCACCTTTCTAAACTTACTTCTTCTGTATTTAAACTATCTATTATTAGTTATCTTTGTGATTTGTGCAGGAGCCCTCTCTGCACTATTCTATTCTCAACTTTAAGATCACTTAATGCAGAAAGATGAATCTATTGCTGACAGCTAGTTTTATCTGTATTGTATTTTAAAGTTGGTTGTATTGTTTTAATCTACTGCTGTAAACCGCTCCAAGCCAAATTGGGAGTGGCGGTATACAAGTCAAATAAATACATAAATAAACAAATCTACATGTGATCTGTGTTTTAAAATTGAGCAATTTTATTTTATGTGTGTTGGTAGTGGTTACTGTTGTAATTTCCTGTGTTACTGTTTTATATTTATGTACCATTTTATGTTGTATGCTTCACCTTGGAGTGCCTTTGTAAGCTGCCCCAAGTCCTTTAGGGAGATGGTGGTGGGATAAAAAATAAAGTTTATTATTTATATTATTTATTATAGCTTATTCTGTACTTGAAAATCTTCTGTACTTGAGAATTTCTGAATGAATGGTTCTTCTTTCAGTTAATGTTTAATTGTTCTTCTTTCAGTTAATGTTTAAAACCATATACATAAAACCTGATTACATTTCTGAAATATTATCCTAGAAAAGAAGCTGCCGGTGGCGCAATGGGTTAAACCCTTGTGCCAACAGGACTGAAGACCAACAGGTCAGAGGTTCAAATCTGGGGAGAGTGTGGATGAGCTCACTCTGTCAGCTCCAGCTCCCCATGTGGGGACATGAGAGAAGCCTCCCACAAGGATGGTAAAACATCAAAACATTTGGGCATCCCCTGGGCAACGTCCATGCAGATGGCTAATTCTCTCACACCAGAAGTGACTTGCAGTTTCTCAAGTTGCTTCTGACACACGCAAACACACACAAAAAAATCCTAGAAAAAATGTGTAAACCCATTTCCAGAAAACTTCTCATAATGTTTTCCCTATAGCATCCTACCAGCTTTCTGCTGCACATTCACAATTAACTTGAAACAATAACAAAACTTCATTAGGGTATTAGTAACTTAGCATACATTTCATAAGGTCTGCTATGTTTCTCAAATCTTAAGAAACATATTTCAGTAGATAATTACTTTATTTTGGTAAATGAAAATTGTTGTAATTTCCATTTTAGTACAACCTAATACATTCTAAATAAAAGTTAAAAGCTACCATGTATTTAAGAAATAATTTATTATTTATTTACATTTTAAGGCTGAAAGTGAATTACAGAGAGCTTCACTAGATGCCACTCGAACAACTAGACATTTGGAAGAAACCATTGACAACTTTGAAAAACAAAAAATAAAAGACATAAAGGTTTGTATTTAGTTCAGATATAAAGCAATAGCCCTAGATTATCTGAAATACATATTGATTGGGTTGTCAGAACAATTTGCAGTCAAATCTATTAAGATGCATGGACCAGCCTACTTACATATAGAAGGTTATTGCACAGAGCATTTGTCATGAGAACCTAAGAGAACATTAGTGGATTTCACAGATAGCATGCAATTCTGTAAAATGCGTGGTGGTGGTGGTGAAACAGTGTTCATTGAAGGCAAGCTCCTTTTAAGACCATCAGATAAATGTTTTTCCTGGTTTTTCCATTTTATAGATAAAATGAGATGTTAGTTTGATGCTGAATGGAAGGGGCTAACACAGCCTTCCCTAAACTGATGCTTTCCAGATGGGTCACTTCACAAGCTCACATCATCTCCACTCAACATGGCCTGTTGGCAGTCTGGCTTTTGACAATGGCAGCAAGCCATGCACTATTTGATTACAGTAATAGACTTGTAATCCAATTTTAATGTTTTCAGGTCATGCATATCCTACTAATTCTACCAAATTCTAAGTACCTGGACAAACTGAGCAGTAACCGCTCACCAAGAATAGCTTTGGGTAGACCAGGGCTTGGGAAATTGGTCCTTCAGGTGTTGACCTCCAGTGGCATGCCTTGATTTATTGGGTAGTTCATTAAAATCTGGAAGGCTGGATATTCCCTATCAGATGAATACTAGACCATAGTTGTACATTCATAATGGGGAATACTTCTAGCATGGGGGCAGAGATTACAGTGGGGGTTGCCATCTTGGATAGAAGTTCACAAATCTGGCTCAATGAAGGAATAAGGGTTGGTTTCAGATGAAAGAGAAATGACTTCCTACAAGAAGAGCTTGTGCTCTAACTGTGCAGGTGCTACTATATATAAACCATATGTAAACCTTCTTCAATGTAACCAATCTACATCATGATAATTCATGTACAGATTGCCATTAAACTATATCAGTAACTAGAGAAAAATGGCAACTAACATGTAACTTTTTATCTTATTTTCAGAACATATTTTCAGAATTTATAACAATTGAAATGCTCTTCCATGGAAAAGCCTTAGAAATTTACACTGCTGCCTTCCAGAGTATACAAAATATTGATGAGAATGAAGACTTACAGGTAAGAGACCAGCTGCATTGCATGCAAGGTTGCACTGTAGAAACATCATGACCGTAAGCCAGACAGGTATATTTCTGCACGGTTTCATGCAATATTGAATTCAAAACTTTTTTCTGTAGCTCCTGTGGTTTTCACACAATTGGGTCTATCGTTCAGTAAACATGTTTGAGAATGCCAGCAGTGTATGCAGTTGTAGTCTTTTAGTGACTTATCAGATTGCTTAAAATAAGAATATTTTGAACTAAACTAAATATTACATGCAGTGTTGCCCCAGCAGACCTCTGCATAAATATATATAACAGGTTCCTCCTAACCTTTATTTTTCCAATCTAAATTTGTTCTGGGAGGTTGTTCAATCCACCCAAATCTATCCTGCTAACATAAGCTGTTCATTTTCCTATTGAATACACCCTGTAGCATTATAAATTAGGATGTCCTTCGAAGGACATTTCAAAAGTAATATATTATTTTAGATTTTTAAAACTGCTTTAAATATAAGGATATGGGCAGAAAAGTGATACAGAAATGGTCCTTGTAACACATATTTTATAAACATTCGTTTAATGTATATTCTGAATGAAAACTTGTTTAAACAGGTGTTTCGGAGTTCACTATATCCACCAGACCATCAATCACGTTTGGACATTGTACGTGCCAATTCAAAGTCTCCTCTTGAGAGAACTAGTTCATCCAAACATTGCACTGGAATTGTTCAGGTAGGATAGAAAGTTTGAATACTTTCCTATGTTACATTCTTTGAATTTCCTCAAGAATATAAGCTGGCTCTTGTTTCTTAAAATGAACTGTAAACACAGGAATGCTCAAAAGATATATAGCATGACTGTTTCTCCAGAACTTCTCAAAAGTTGCTGTGCATATCTAGCTGCCTTAACATCAGGATGAATGTGTTTCCATGCTTCCATAACCAAGACAGCTATCTTCATGGATCCTGAGTTATTAGTATTGATACAAAAAATGAACTTTAAGTTTCTTGTGAAGTGAAACACCAAATCACTCATTGCCGAGTGTGTACAACACAATGAGAGAAACACAGAAATAAAAGTGTTGTGTGTATGTGCCATTGTATCGAGGATGGAAAAGGGTTTTCTTTTTCCCTATCTACTGAGAAAGATAAGATCTATTTAGATCTCTGCTTTCAAAGTATTTTTGCTTTCTCTATCAGGGCAGAGAATGTTCTTTCTTTAAGAATGGTGTAGGAGGCCATGTGAAATTCAGACATATACTTCATGCTGTCCACAGGTTCTCCAGTCCCTTTCCATGATTACTTTCCTCCAATAGACCATATTTTTTCCTTTCTTCAAAAATCATGTTTTCAATGTAAAGTACTAGGTTTTCAGAATGTAAAGTACATAACTGCTTTTATGAAGCTTAATTCTATTTTCTCTTTAACCTAATTATCGAAATACTCTTGAATTGTTACATTCTCTGGTAGCAGATTTCAAGGAATCGGTTGAAAAAGGATGAAGACGAGGAAGACGAAGATTATGAGGATGAAGACGAGGATGAAGATGAGGAACTAGAAAGCACCAAGGAGGAAAGATAGTATTTGTCACCAGAATGTTTTCCCTGCTTTTTATTGTATTGATACTTGTTATTTAGATAGAAATCAGTCTGCCAAATATATTTCAATTAAAAGAACTGTCTACTTTAAGAAATACATTTGTTACTTGGCCACCTTGCAATTTCTTGATGCCTTGACGTTTAAAGGAATTATTGCCTTGGACATTAAATGCAAGTTGTATTAATGATTCTTTAATAAATCCGCATAAGGTGAGTCAGCAAGTTTGAGTTTATGATAGAAGCAGGGAAGGTAATTGTGTGGCCTTACATAGGATATTGGACCACAGCCCTAACTAACTTAGCCAATTGTGAGAAATACTGGAAGTTTAAATCCAGCATGTGAAGAGATGTATGTTTTTCAGAGTATTAGTATTCTTTTTGTTTTTTTAAAAAATGTACATACACAATGGAACAATTTTCTAGTTTCCTTTAAAATTTTAGGCCAGTATATCATTTCTACGTCTTCATTTGTAGCTTGCAGAGTTTGATTATGGAAGTCAGTTTAACAACTGATTAAAATACCATATTGGGTACTTGTGAAGGTGAATTCCAAGAGTAGGATTCCACATAATCAACCTTTCAACAGCCCAGAATGCACCTTCACAATAAGTATTAAACGTGGCATTCTGTGTGTTGGTGATGGAAAACAGTAACTAAGTGGAAGAGGTATGTTAGTTGCCCTCCTAATGAACCGCTAAACATAGGGGGAGAAGAAAATGGGGTCCCATGGACATTAGGCAAAGCTGCAGATAAAGACCACAGCCTGTCACTTTAATGTATTAGGCCTCAAACCTAAATCCAGACCTTTCTCTAGAAAGCCAAGAGGTGCAAAACAGAAAATATAGTGGACTTGGAAGGAAATTTTATTTATACTATTTATAAATAGTTTCTATATAACCTTAAAATTTTTCAGTTGCCTGCCTCTGGCAAAAAAAAAATCCTTGTTGATCATAGAATTCACATCACCAGTTTTTTCTGATTTCTGTTAAATCTCCAGGTGGCTAACTGGAGGCAAGGTATATTTGGATGTTGAAGGTGTTCCTGCATTAACAAATCCTGGTGTTCAGGACAGTGCCATTGGGCTGCCAGGGCAGGTACATGAGGTCTGAAAACCAGTTTCCCAAGTCAGTAAGGCACAGTGAGATTGACTTGAGACTTCTTCCTAACCACCTTGAATAAGAGAAAGAGGGCAAACACAAGAACCTGTGCCACTGGCACTATCGAGCATCCTTTGTGCCTGGACAGGGCAGTCTGGTGAGGACTCCGTGGCACTTGCGATTTGTCAGCCACACAAGTGTCCACTGCACAGGATATGAACCTATCATGTTGGGAAAATACCATGTTTCCCAGTCATGAGTCTCCAGAAAAATTCAACCTAGAAATTGATGATTCCCTGGACACTTTGCACTGAAAAGGACAGGACTGTTCTCTCAGATTATTGGAACAGGAGAAATCTTCCTGTAAAATGAGACTCGATCTCCTATATTTTTAAAGTTGAAATGTGTGGTTGTGCTGTCTGTGGGAATCAGTAGATGTTTCCCCTTGAACAAGGCAGCAAAGTGGAGATCTAGATGGGCCACTCTCAGCTCCAATCATGCAGTTACCTCCAAGTCCTTGAATCTTCCCTGTCAATGAGGTCCTCAATTCAGAATACTGGCATTTATACTTACTGTGATGTTGGGGGGCTCTCCAAATGGAGAGCCCTTCTGAAGATTGGACAAGTGGGAATACAATGGTACTGTGTGACCCGATATGAAAGGAGCAATAATGTATAGCTATATATTGGGGTCATAGATTGATGTGACTGCAAAAACCACTGGGGGGGGGGGGACTTGGGTGGAATTTGAGGCAAGGTACAATCTGAATCATGAGGCTAAGAAATCTAAGGCCATGAAAATACTCAGCTTAGAAAACACTTTGTACCTCTGAATCCAGATCGTTCCATTTCTTCTGAGATATAAATCATGCTCTTAGCCATATCAGAGCCCCTGGGGGGATGATTGACATAAAAACACCTGGCCTTTTTTTTTACTGTTTATCGAAAAATGAGACCGAAACCAATTCATTCTCACATTTATATCCTGCTAAGTTCCCTGAAAAGACATGGCTTTCACAAGCACATCATCCAGGTATGAGTACAGATGTATGCCCTGCAAACTTAAGTGTGCCACTAAGACCATCAATCGTTTGGCAAATGCCCTCAGAGCTGAGGCCAAAGCAAAAGGCAGGGCAGGATGTACAACTGAAAATGATAGCCACCCTAAGGAATCCTGTCTTGGTAATAGGAATGTACAGATATGCTTCCACAAAGTCCAGCAAAATAAGCAAATATTGTCTCTGTAGTACCAATATCCAGGTCAGCATTTCCATTGCCAAACTGTGGCACATTACAAGATCCATCTCTCTGGTTGTTAAAGAGAATCATGCCTTCCACTGGAGGTACCTTAACATCAGAACTTCTGCCTCCATTCTTCAGGACAGGGGTCATCACACTTTTTGAGCAGAGGGCCAATTCACAGTCGCTGACTGTTGGGGGGGGGCAGACTATAGATTGGGGGGGGGGGACAAACAAATGCCTATGCAAATTACAATATTAACAATACTTAAAATGAACAATTTTAACCAACATAAACTTACCAATATTTCAGTAAGAAGTGTGGGCCTCCTTCTGGCTGGTGAGATAGTCAAGTTAATTACAAGGGTTGAATGAAAAGTAATGCCTCCATCTTCGTTACTTGGGTTTAGATGGGAATATTTTAATAAATCAAACGCGAAAATAATCCTTAGAATGTGCTCTTTAACTATTCATTTTTCCACATAATCACCAAACAATTGGATAAATTTTGGCCAATGACGAACAAGTTTTCTGAAGCCGTCACGGGAGAAGTCGACACTTTGTTTTTGCAACCAGCATCTCACAGTTCTCTCATAATGGGTACCTATCGTGCACAGATCTTCCGATAGCCAAGCAAAGCAGTAATGTGACTCACGCATTCTTGTGAAATGCCGATTATGCTTGAAATTTCTCTCAGAGTGATACAACGATCGTCCTGAATCAATCTGTCAACCTTTTGCTTGTGAAACTTGGTCGTTGCTGTCACAGGACGTCCAACTCTCTGTTTGTCGCGCAAGTCAGATGTTCCCACCTCAACATCTTTAAACTTACTCGCCCAGTGACATACAGTACTCACATCAACACAATCACCATAAACAGCTTGCATTCTCTGATGAAGCTCCTTTGGGGTGACACAGTCCGCTGTGAATAATTCAACAACTGCACGTTGCTTAAGTCACATTGACCGACTATCTGTGCAAGGTTCCATACTTCGCACTTCAACAACACAACTGTTCAATGCTAAGGCTTCCCGCCAAAATGGAATTGTAGAGGAGAGTCTACTGAACAAGCCAGTACATGCCGCATACCAGTACCGCCATCTGTTGAGGTACGAAGGTGGAGGCATTACTTTTCATTCAACCCTCGTAGGATTGTTGTGATTTTTCTTCAAATTATTTCAAACTTAGGACAACCCTAAGTCTAAAGTTTGGGGCGGGGGCCTGGTAACTGACCTTGCGGGGCCACATTCAGCCTGTGGGATCTAGGCCAGACTGGCCTGAAGAAACAACGATCCCTTGAACTGTTAAAACCTTGTGATGAAAGGAAAATGACTAAAAGGGCCTCTTAGATTAAATGTTCCTATTCCCTTTCTTGGTCATAATGGTTATTTCCTGCTTCTTGTCCCTAGTTTCTAGAATAATGCTTTTAAATGTATTGTTCTCAATTTATTCCTAGAATGTGCACCCACTTCCCAATGCTTAAGTCAGGTAGAGCATCTAGCCATCTTATAACACCACAGATTTTGCTGCAAAGGCAAGGAAGTCTTGGGTAACACCTGCCACAAACTGAAGAGTCCTGTAAATCTTGAAAAAAATCTAAGTTTGTAATACAAGTCTTCCCTCTGCAGTATGTCCACTATTTATACAGCATGGCGTGTATAAATAGTGAATTAGCTGATGAAGCAGTGATTGCCAAAGCTACTGCCTAAAGTGCCTTCTTCAAAAAAAGTTCTGTTTGCTTTTCTTCAGCCTCATTGAAAAAAATCTTCTTTTGGGCCAAGGCCCTGAAACCGAGGTGCCAAATGAATTCACAACGGTACCTTAAATTCCTCGATAGCAAGTTTATATGATGAATAAAATTTCTGAGCCTCCAGAGGGGAAGTCAATTCTGACTTTACTAGTTGTAGAAAGACTGATGAAAAAGATCTCTCTCGCAGAAGACTTGTTGACTTAGGACTAAAGCACTCCTCTCATTCAGCTCAGTCTTCTAGTAGTGGACATTAAGCTCAGCCTTAGATGAGGAAAACCCCAACACTGTTTTGACAATGGGAACGAAATCCTCAGAATGAAATAAACAGTAGGTTTATCTTGAGTGGAACCATGATTCCAACCATTCCTCCCTTCTTCAGCAATAACATCACATTCTTAACTCATGTGGGTCCTCCTAGGAGTAAGAAATGAATACTGGAATCACAATCTGAATCTTCAGAGGAATGAATACAAGATTCTGCCTTTCTTTTGCAACCATGAGCAGAATACAACCTTATCAGAATCTTCATTGTAGGACTGGGATCTCCAATGAGTAGGTCCCAGCAAGAGGCTTTGTAAATAATCCCATCTATGAAATGAGGAAAAGAAAGCAAGATTATAGATCTAATTGGGCGTCAACAACACATGAGGCAAGCCAGAAACACAGCCAGAAAATACTCTGCACAGGCAGAAGGAAGAATTGGTCTCTTAAGGTGGTTGAAAAGGAGGAGTCAACAAAGCCTGTTTCAGACATTGTTCTTTCCACCCGTTTCTGGAAAGTGGTGGAAGAAACCCAGGTTGTGTGTATTCTCCTCTAGCCAAGAGAAAAACCACCTTCATTCTGTAGCATACATGGCCAATAAGGAATAGTTTAGCTTAACCTTATTGCATCATCATCATTCTGCTTCTTAATTAAAACATGCAGATCTGTATCAGACATGATTTGCAATACAAAATAATGGACTGCAGGATGCTGGATGAATATGCTATCCAATCTCCCTCGCATTGCTTAAACTCAGGTGAATTCTGAATATTAAGTTAAAGTCACTTTTGATTGGACTATATTGATTATTCAAATTAAACGGGAAACAAAGCTCAGGATAAGCAAACTATGCAACACCTGTCTATTACCTTAACTAACTACTTAGCTCACCCCTCATTTATTTTATGTATCCATGTCCTTTGTAGTTACAGCAAAATGTAATGTGGCAGCCTGAAAAAGAATCCAAAGCAAGACCATACATATTTCTTAATTAAAGGTAAAGGTTTTCCCCCGACATTAAGTCCAGTAGTGTCCAACTCTGGGGGTTGGTGCTCATCTCCATTGCTAAGCCGAAGAACCGGCATTGTCTGTAGACACCTCCAAGGTCATGTGGCCGGCATGACTGTATGGAGTGCCGTTACCTTCCACCTGGAGCAGTACCTATTGATCTACTCACATTTGCATATTTTCAAACTGCTAGGTTGGCAGTAGCTGGGGCTGACAGCAGAAACTCATGCCGCTCCTCAGATTCGAACCTGTGACCTTTTGGTCAGCAAGTTCAGCAGCTCAGTGCTTTAGCCCACTGCACCATCAGGGATCTTAAAAACGCTGGATACTAAAGTTTCAATGCTCCTCTAGCTATATAGGAAACCCATTTAAATAATGTATATGGTACTAAGAATATTTAATTTAGAATACAATTATGAGCTTTTATAACACTACAATTCAGGATGGTAATATGTTATCCTTAGCTGCATGTAGTGATGGCTATGCCCACATATACACCACTTCCTCAGAGTGCAGAAATAAGGAAAGGTAAACAAAAATCAAGATGAAAAGTATTTCAAAGCCATTGTGTGTGTGTGCGCGCGCACCTTCAATAGTATTTTTCATAGGTTTTTTTTTAGATAAGCCTTTAAGGTTTTGAGGTTCCTTAAACCCATTATACACATAAAATAGATTGTTATCAATGAAATAATATTATAAGAGCAATTGTTTTAAAGAACAGTTTTGAGCAAGCAGACGATAGTCCTGTTAGCCTTCTGCAACAAATGCCATAAAAATATTTGTGGCAACTTAAGAGTAACCATTTATTTTTCACATAAACATTTACAGATAACATCCCACTTCACAAAAGACATCATTTAAGAGCAAGGTACAACAGATCAAGGGGGAGTGGTTCTTTTTTCACATGCCTGATTTTCAAACGGTTTACAAGGGTAAGGCAGAGAAATCCTAGAGCAGTGGTTCTCAACCTGTGGGTCCCCAGATGTTTGGCCTTCAACTCCCAGAAATTCTAACAGTTGGTAAACTGGCTGGGATTTTTGAGAGTTGTACACCAAAACACCTGGGGACCCATAGGCTTAGAATCACTGTCCTAGAGGTTTAGCTATCCCAGAGCTTCGTAGTTTTAAAATTACATCCATAACTCGATACCTAAAAGAATAACTAAAGTGACAGGGATACATATGTGTGGAATACTGCTGCTGAACCAAATGAAAATAAAACTTCACTGGAGTGCTATTTTTGTCTTGACATTTCACTGTATTTTTATATTGTGGCAGTCAAGACAAACAATACAAACAAAAGGTAATTTAAGAATCAAATTCAATAACCTATTACTTCCACAAATTCTGGAATATCAACCAATAAATGCATAGAAATATGCATGGATAAAATAGCCTACATATCCAGTCATCTCATAACAATACTGAAACTAAATATACTGATAAAACAAAGTCCTTTCAAAAGCTACACCACATATAAGCATTTTTTTCATCTTTCAAGGTAAAAAGGTACACACATTTTGAAGTAATATCTTGGAACAGACAGGCTGGACAGGAAAGGATCGTCTAAGAAGGGTTCGATAAGCTTTTCTTAAAAATCACTTAGGCTTATCAATACAAAGTTACTGTGCTATTGAATCTATAGAAAGAAAATTTGAATTCCCTTTACACAGACTCCAGGTTCTTTGTGTATTTTGTAATAGTAAAACATTTTCCCCTGTGCTCATTTCTCCATAAACCCTTCCTATAACTAAACTATTTATTCTATGGTAATTTTTAAAACTACTCAATTTTCTTCTCAAAGCAACAAAATTCTGGAAACCTGTTTCAGGTCATCCGCTACGAATTGCACAGAAGAACTACACAGTGCAAAAAAAAACGTATATCCTATGTTATCTTACAATGTTTTTCCTCTGTTAGAGTATATTCTGCAAGTGCTACACAGGCGAATATGGGATAAATTCCCTATCAAAATGCAGCCCTGGTTCTTAAGATTCCAGACTGTACCAAATAAAAATAAAGACAATTTTAAATTAATACATTTTTATTTTAAAAGAAATGTTGAACAGGCATTAAAAGGGTACTCAAAATACCACTGAACATAAAAAATGGTCAAAAATTCAAGAAAAACTGTGGATCTTCTTGTTAACATACACAGGAAAACATTTTTTTAGCTCCAAGTGCGGCTATACTAAAATAATAAAGACAAGTTAGACATATGCATGCAATTATAGGATAAAAACAAAATACTTTCAAAGTCATGTTTTCATGAACTACCAAGGTGATCCAAAATTGTCTACAAATAACCCAACCAATAACGGCCAATAATGTTTTAATCAATCAAATAGTAAACTTTTTTCTATGTGAAAATGTCATTTCTCAACATTAACAATGCAGATATCTTAAAGCTGCTTCATAGCCATCTCTTCATCTTTTTATGTATATTTTAATTGATATTATATTTTGCTTTGTGAGTGGATTTATACAATTAATATATGCATACCATCTATGACCACATTTCTCTACCCTCTTCCATTATCTTCCACCTCCATTCAATATTATCCACTCACTTATCTAGCATGTCTTCAAGTTCTTTCACTCTGGCCATCTTTTCATCTATACCAAGGTTAACCTAATTTTGCGTTCTCCAATTGGCCTATCATTTAATTCATTAACAGCTGCCATGGCTTCATTATAATTTACTAAGGCGATAACAGCTTCACCAGAAGGCAATCCATATTGGTTGTGTTGGATAGAAAGAGATTCTGGAATAATCTTATACCCATGAAAAAAATCCAGAATTTCATTTGGTGCTGCTCTAAATGGTATATTCTTTAATTTAATCAGAGTGAAGTGATTAGAACTACCACTGAAATTAGAATCTGACAAAAAGCGTCCACCTGGAAAATTTCCATGAACACCTTCACCAAAATCTGTAAATGGAGCAGAATCTCTAGATTTATCAGATATGGTGATAAAATCACTAGATGAATGTCTATAATCAGATGGATGCTTTATAGATGATCCACGCGAGCCAGTTGTGTAAGCATGTTGACCTCTTTCATATGGACGAATATGATCCTGCACCTTTTCATCTGATACTGGTGAAACATTAATACCAAATTCTTGCATTTGCTTCTCAGATATACATCTCACAAGTACCTCTGCTCCCCAATACCGACAGCGATTTAAGCTTTCAGCTCTCAAAGCATCACCTTCAGTTCTGAACTTGACCAATGCTTCTCCCAGTCCATTTCCTTTGTCATCATAAAGCAAATGAACGTCATGTTCATCAATATAAAATCCTGCAAAAAACTTCTGGACTTCACCATTTGTCACATCATATGGAAAGTTTCTTACATATACACATGTTTTTGGATCAGAATATCTATCCCAGTCACATTTCTCATTTGCAAGGTAATGTCTTTCTGGGGATTTTTTAGTTTCAGAAAATCCCGCAAGCTCCATCACTGCTTCTTTGGAAATGGGGAAAAGTAAAATTTCTTGTCCACGAAGAAGGTGCTTGTGATAACCTAGTGCAGAAGAATAGGCTCTCATTGAGTTGAACATCACAACTGCATCTTTGTATGTTTTATTACCAGGTATCTTAAGGAATGTAATTTGATTGCTAAGTATATCTATGTCTTCAAAGAATTCTCTCAATTCTCTCTTCTCAATAAGAAATGGCAAATTTTTGACATGTATATAATGTTCCCTGTTATGAGGTGAATAAGACTGGGTTGAACCAGATATAGGTGAACGGGAGCGTGCTGTAATCCTCCTTGGTGGAGACCTTGAATGGGTGCGTGACATAACCCTCCTTGGTGGAGACCTTGAATGGCTGTGTGTTGTAACACTTCTTGGGGGAGACCTCAAGGTATGTGCCACAATCCTCTTTGGAGGAGATCTTGAATGGGCATGTGTCATCATTCTCCTTGGAGATCTTGAAAGGGTATGTGCCACAACCCGCCGCAGAGGAGACTTTGAACGGGTATGCCTTCTTGAGGACTGGTAGTCTGGGTCTCTTTCTTTATTCAAATCACGAGGAAACTGTTCATCACTGAAAGCCTGATGCATTTGTAATCCTTCTTTTTCAAGGCCCTTAATCCATGTCCCTTCATTAGAGCGATGTATTTCTATAAATCTGTTGCCCATATACTGTCTATCACGTTGCAACCCTCTTGTGGCATCAGTTGGTGTAGCAAATTTCACCAGACCATCTCCATTGTTTGACCCATTGGTTTTGAACATGATCACACCATCCACTTGTAAACCAGCAAAGAAAGTAAGTACGTCATCTTCCATTGCAGTGTAAGGCATACCACGTATGAATAAGTACAAATTATCAGAATTAGATTTCTTTGATGAGTAAGTTATCTGACTTAATTTACTCCTAGGATGATTATGACTTAATTTTGAAAGATTTGTATTGCTATTACGAGAGCCATTTGAATGAAGCCTGTCCTCAAATGGAACTTTAGAATCATAGCCAGATCTGCCAATTCCTTTACTTATGGCTGCAGCCATATTCGAAGAAACACCAGAGTTATTAGGTGTCCATCTAGATTCAATTGTTTCTCTTCTACTGCGATCAAATCTTTTCTTATTGAGTTCTATCATGTACTGCATTTCTGTTTTGCTGCTGAGAAAAAGCTCAATACGTGAATTTTTAACATATCCCCCTGAACAATTCATTGCTTGCCGTGCATCTTCATCTGTTTCAAATATAACAAAAGCTTCTCCCTTTTCTCCTCCAGTGATATGTACACCTCCATCAGGAATATTCAATCCTGATAAGAAACGGCGAATATCTGCAGGACCCGCAACAACAGGAAGCCCCTGTAAACGGATGACTACAGCCATTCTGAGTTCAACCCACAGAAAAAATGACCTGTGGACAAAAAGATATACATGACAACAAGCCTTAATTATACTGGGAAAGTGCTGTATTTCAAGCTATACTATTTGACAGTATACTTGATTAAAGTATTCAAAATGGAAAACTCCTTCATATGGAACCACGAGAGGCCTATTACTTCTCTACACGTGCTAACAATTAACATCTCAGTCTACAGCACTGGACTGTTCTACCAGTAATCCCAATCATTAAAGCAATAATTTCAGTCGCTCTAACTATGACTAACTATACGAAAGCTTTCACACTACGCTATAATCCATCAGAGATTAAATAACCCCTATTCTGTATTTTTGCTGTCTGGTATCAAAAGCATAGAAAACGTAACCGGAAAAGATGCCTCAGCACTTCCAAACAAAAATGAAACCACATCACACACTACCAGTAAATCAGCCTTCCTCATGATGAAGTTTATCTATCCTTTCCCCCTCATTTTTTTCCTGTGATTAGGATCCAACCATATCTCTTCCTTTTCCTGCTACAAGTTTGGAAGAAAAAACCTTGACCTGAGACAACAGAAGCGTTAAGCTTCTAGAAGCTTACCTGTTTCTTCTTGAAAGGTCTGATAAATTCTGTGAAATCAACTTAACTGTGGAAAGAAAATGAAACATAATTAATTGCTACGAAGTAGCTTTACATCTTATTGTCATTATTGTGGAATATCCTCAACCAGTCGGTCGCACGAAACCAGTGAGAAATAAAAATGAGTTGTTTTATGCGCAAATCCATTCTCAATCCAGAGATATATGCAAAAAATGAGTGGTAATGAATCCCAGTTGTATCTTGATTTGGAAGACATTATACTCTCGTGTTGGAATGACTTCAAAAAGTAATGAGAATTCTAGGTTATTCTTCAAGAGATCCAAGCATTGCTGAAGCGCCAAAGAACCACTTGAAAGATGAAGCCTCATTAAAAAAATACAAATTTTTCCAGTCCTCTTTCATTTGTGTCCTTCTGAAGACAGTAGCTTATTTTTCATCAACACCTTGCAAAGATTGTTATGTGCCTTGCCAAGATGGTTATGTTGCAAGAAAAATCCCTAAACCAGAAGTCCTATAAAATTATACTGATAACATGCGCTCAAATTTCCTCTCAAATTGTCATCACACCATGAATCCAGCAGAATCTTAAAACATTTTCAGTTTAAAACATGGGCATGCCACAATGTATTAACAACGTTGATAAAATATGTGTGTGCCCCTCATGGTGTCAGTATTTTCACAAGCTTCGAGAAATACATAAGACTGTAATGGAAAATGGCGATCAAATCATACGCAAGTTTATCTGGAAGGAAGTCCCACTGAGTTCACTAAATATTATCTAAATCATCTGTCCTCTGTTTACAAGAAAATATTTCAGTCTCAATGCCCTATTAAAAGACAATTACTACAAGAACCCAAGTCATGTGGCGAGTGATAAACAAGATCAAGAAAGCCGAAGACTATTAGCCTTATGACTTCAAATATTCCGTTTTTGGATAATACTTTGAACAAACCTATTATACCCACTTGAAGCCATTGTATAAAATCAGTCTGAACTGAGTTTTTTTTTAATCTTCCCAAGTTTGAAGTGTTTTAATCCACTTGCTTTCCAGAAGCCCAAGCTATATCATGGAGAAATCAATGGCAACATTTCCATTGATCTTAACAATCCACGGTTCAAAAACTCAATACAGCATTGTTATAGTTTCTCAACTGTGACACTATACAAGCTTATGACAACAAGTGCAACAAAATTAGTTACAACATGCATGCAAGGTTAGTTTTCAATACCCCTGAAGACCAAAAACAGATTGCCTATTTAAAAGCAAGTAAGGAAGTCTAAAGTATTAAAAAAATCAAATATGTTAAGGCCGGGATCCTATACCTACATACTTGTATCATTGAACTCAGCAGTGCTTGCTTGTGAGTAAACAAACAGGGTTACCATCTGTAACAGCTCTTGAAACTCTGGCCCCATCTACACTGACCATTTAATGTGGTTCAGAGCTAGCTTCAAACTGCAGCCAAACAACAAAGATCTATAAAAGTGTGCAAAATATTCAGGCCTCAAACTGGTCCCAGCATTTCCTATGGAATCATCTGCACAGCACAATCACTTTTTTCAATACCAGTTTGAACCTACATTAAATGGTCAGTATAGATGGGGCCTCTGACAAGGGGTTGGGAGGGGAGCTGAAACAAATAGTTCTTTGTGTGCTTGATCCAAATGATGTGTGTTATTTGAAAGTCCGAAGTAAAACATTCACAGAACAGATATTCCTGGCTAATGAAAACTTCCAGCCTTTTATGCCTGCCTATATGCAAATGTTAAAATTCCTGTTATTACGGGTGAATGCAGTCCTATCGTTGAACTTTGTTCATTACTAAAGCAAGACCTCTTCTAATCTTTTCAAACTGTGGTTTGTTGCAAAGAGAATCCTATTTTTCACCTGGAACAAAGAGCACGGCGGAATTCTGGGATATTCAAGCATAGTGGCTTCCACAACCCAGTCAAGAAAACAAGTTACAGATTATGCTCAGATTGGAAAAAACATGGCTTCTTGAGCAACCATGCCTGCCCATTTCTTTTCCAAGGAAACATTGGGTAGGAAAGTGGCAAGGCAGCCTCCAAGATACAAGAATCATTTAGTTAAATAAAAGGAGAGTCCTGTGTTGTTTTACTATTGCAGTTTCTGTATATTCCAGTCAAATCCAGCAGCATGCTCCTAAGAAAACCATTTCAGATCGATCCAGCACACTCCGAGAGATTCCCATATGGCGAACCGAGCACACACGGGAGAACATATAATGTTCTGTTATTTGGAGGCCTGAGGGAAATTAATTTTATGCCCAACTGTTGAAGAATATACCGACTTCTGCGAGGAGATTCCATAGCTCGACAGGAATGCCTTGGTGCAAAAATAAACTACTATCAGCTAACCTTCCCCTCCAACCTGAAGACAAAACCGGCCCAAAGGGCCCTCAAAGTAGCTCAGATGTCACCATCGTACCCAATGAAACGTGGCAAGGGAGGATGGACCCACAACTTGGGAGGGACTTCTGAGGCCACAGAAACATCATGTTGGAAGAGACCCCAAATACCATCCAGTCCAACCCCCTTCTGCCCTGCAGGAACATGCCAGCAAAGCATCTCTGTCCATCCTCCACATAAAAACCACCAGGGAAGAATACTCCTCCATGCTCTGAGGCACCGTATTCCACTCTTGAGGTGCTCTTACCATCAGGAAGTTCTTCCTAATGTTTAGGAGGACACCCATTTCTACCATTTGAATCCACTGTACCACGCTCTAGTCTCCAGATAACTGTAAATTTGGTTTTGAGACTTTTCTGTTGCTGCCTGCGCGAGCGCAGGAACATACCATAGGTGCAAATCACAGCTGACCACGAGGGGAAACCACTGTACCACGCCCTAGTCTCCAGAGCAGATATTCCTTCGAAATGTTTAAAGGTGGCTCTAATGTCTCCTTCTCAAGACTTCTTTTCTCCAGGCCCAGCTCTTTAAGCCATTCCTCACAGGACCTTGGATCCCTTTGCTCACCTTTCTTGGGACAGCTCCCAGCTGGACGTAGAATAATAGAATCATTGAGTTGGAAGAGACCTCGTGGGCCATCCAGTCTCAACCCCCTGCCAAGAAGCAGGAAAATCACATTCAAAGTACCCCAGTCAGATCCAGCCTCTGCTTAAAAGCCTCCAAAGAAGGAGCCTAGGGGCAGAGAGTTCCCGTGCTGAATAGCGTTCAGTCAGGAAGTTCTTCCTCATGTTCAGGTGGAATCTCCTTTCCTGTAGTTTGAAGCCACTGTTTCGTGTCCTAGTCTCCAGGGCAGCAGAAAACCAGCTTACTCCCTCCTCTCTATGACTACCCCTCACATGGCCATAATGTCTCCTCTCAGCCTTCTCTTCTTCAGGCTAAACATGCCCAGCTCTTTAAGCTGCTCCTCATGGGGCTTGTTCTCCAGACCCTTGATCATTTAAGTCGCCCTCCTCTGAACATATTCCAGCATGCCAACATCTCCCCTGACCTGGACACAAGTGTGATTCTAGGTGTGGTCTGACCAAGGTAGAATAGAGAGGTAGCATGACTTCCCTGGATCTAGACACCATATTCCAAGGAGGTCAATAAAAGGTAAAGGTAGTCCCCTGACATTAAGTCCAGTCATGTCTGACTCTGGGGTGTGGTACTCATCTCCATTTCTAAGCCGAAGAGCCAGCGTTGTCCGTAGACACCTCCAAAGTCATGTGGCCGGCATGACTGCATGGAGCGCCATTACCTTCCCGCCGGAGCGGTACCTATTGATCTACTCACATTTGAATGTTTTCGAACTGCTAGGTTGGCAGAAGCTAGGGCTGACAGCGGAAGCTCACGCCGCTCCCCGGAATTGAACCTGCGACCTTTCGATCAACAAGCTCAGCAGCTCAGTGCTTTAACCCACTGCGCCACCGGGGGCTCCCTGTGGTCAATATCCTTCTTGAATTGTGGCGCCAAGAACTGGTGAGGCCCGGCCAACGCAGAACGGAACAGGCCTGAGGCTTGCCTTCGTCAAGGCTCCTATTGACGAGGCCTACAGCCACGCTGGCCTTTGTAGCTGCGGCGCCATACCGTGAAGTCACGTTCCACGAAGAGCCCTACATCCTTTGCGGTCCCTTTTCACCGAAGCCGCCCACCCTCCGCGCGCGGAACCGCCTTTTTACTAACCAGGCCGCCTCGGGTCGAGGGAGCGAGCGAGCCCTTCCCAACGGGCGCCTCGGCTCCGTTTCTTTCCCCTGAGGGATAAGGCGAAGGAAACCACAACGTGCCTCTTACATAACCTCCTCCTCCGCCACCAACACCACCACCAACGGAGCTCCGGCGACGCCTTTTCTTTTCAAAGAAAGCCGCGCCGGCCGTCTCCTCAGCAAGAGAAAAAAAATGGCCGTTGCTTCCCCGAGACCGCGCGTGCGCAGTGAGGCAGCTGCGGCTCCTCCAGGAAGCGCCGAGAGGCGAACTCGACCGGAAGTCGAAGCTGCCGCCAATCAACCTCTTTCGTTTTTTTTCCTTCTTCCGGTAGGGTGGCAAGGGCGCGTGCGTGAAGAAAGAAAATGGTCTCGCATGGCGGGAAGATGGCCGTAGTTCCATTTATGGGTTGTTGTAGGTTTTTTCGGCCTGTACGGCCATGTTCTAGAGGCATTTTCTCCTGACGTTTCGCCTGCATCTATGGCAAGCATCCTCAGAAGTAGTGAGGTCTATTGGAAGTAGGAAAAATGGGTTTATATATCTGTGGAATGACCAGGGTGAGACAAAGGACTCTTGTCTGCTGCAGCTAGGTGTGAATGTTTCAACTGACCACCTTGATTTTTCCTAGTTTCCTAGTTCCAACAGATATAGGTAAAGGTAAAGGTAGTCCCCTGACATTAAGTCCAGTCATGTCTGACTCTGGGGTGTGGTGCTCATCTCCATTTCTAAGTCGATGAGCCAACGTTGTCTGTAGATACTTCCAAGGTCACGTGGCCAGCATGACTGCATAGAGTGCTGTTACCTTCCCTCCGGAGCGGTACCTATTGATCTACTCACATTTGCATGTTTTTGAACTGCTAGGTTGGCAGAATCTAGGGCTGACAGCGGAAGCTCACACTGCTCCCCGGAATCGAACCTGCAACCTTTCGATCAACAAGCTCAGTGCTTTAACCCACTGCGCCACCGGGGGCTCCACTCCATCAGATACCGTATATTCCGGCATATAAGACGACTGGGCGTATAAGACGACCCCCAATTTTTCCAGTTAAAATATAGAGTTAAGACGACTCCCATGCATAAGACTACACCCGCGTATAAGATGACCCCTGAGTTTTGAGAAGATTTTCTTGGGTTAAAAAGTAGTCTTATACGCCAGAATATACTGTATATAAACCCTTTTTTCCTAGTTCCAACAGACCTCACTACCTCTGAGGATGCTTGCCATAGATGCAGGCAAAACGTCAGGAGAAATGCCTCTAGAACATGGCCATATAGCCCGAAAAACCTACAACAACCCAGTGATTCCAGCCATGAAAGCCTTCTGCAATATAATTTATTTTATTTATTTATTTATTTATTTATTTACATCACTTATATCCCGCCCATATCAGCCCGCAGGCGACTCAGGGTGGTCTACATATCGGCACAATTCAATGCCATCAATACAATACAAAAGCAAAAACAATTAAGTGCATTTAGACAAAAAAGACAGTGCAATAACAATGTACAAAGAGCTATATCCTGTCATTCCAATCCTCATCTGTTTCATCGTCTTGGCCATTCCTGGGTCATTCTCCATCTCAAGCTTGACTATTCCGGGGTTCCGAATGCCTGCTCGAAGAGCCAGGTTTTCACTCTCTTACAAAAGGTCAGGAGGGAGGGGGCTGATCTAATATCCCTAGGCAGGGAGTTCCACAGCCGAGGGGCCACCACAGAGAAGGCCCTGTCTCTCGTCCCTGCCAAGCGTGCTTGCGAAGCAGACGGGATCGAGAGCAGGGCCTCCTCAGATGATCTTAACTTCCTGGAGGGTTCGTAGGAAGAGATGCGTTCGGATAGGTAGGCATTTATGTTTTAGAAGCAGGCTGGTGGATGTTGGCAAGGCATCTGTTTTTATATAGAGAACTATACATTTTCTTTGTTCCTTCCCTCTTCCTTTTCTCCTGTGCACCTTTATCATCAGCTGTATTATCTTTCCAGTCATTTTCCAATCAAAGTGATGAATTGTGTCTGTTGTCCAAAGGCCTGGTCCCAAAACCACGACTTCAATTTCTTCCTGAAAGCCAGGCAGAATAGCATTGAATGACCTTGCAGCTTCAAGGCCTAGCTGCTTCCTGCCTGGGGGGAAAGTGTTTGCAGTTTAATTAACTTTTTTTAAATGATAGAATGGCCTGGTCACAAAACCACAACTTCAATTTCTTCCTGAAAGCGAGGAGAGAAGTAGCCGATCTTATTTCAATTAGAAGCACGTTCCACAGGCGGAATAGCATTGAATGACCTTGCAGCTTCAAGGCCTAGCTGCTTCCTGCCTGGGGGGAAAGTGTTTGCAGTTTAATTAACTTTTTTAAAATGATAGAATCAATTAGAAAATGACGTTTACAACCCAGGAACACAGAGTAATTTATTTACATGCTACTATTCCACTGCTGCAGACTACCACGTCCCTCATATTTTATATTCGCCCACCCTATGCCAATCTATATATATATAAATGCTCTGTGCATAATGAGTACCTTAAAAACAAAAGAACCAATGAGTGAAATCCCACCAAATTTGGCAACAAAACGTCTCACAACACAAGGAGTGACCATCACTCAAAAATTATGATTTTGTCATTTCGGAGTTGTAGTTGCTGGGATTTATAGTTCACCTACAATCAAAGAGCATTCTAAACTCCACCAAAAATGGAATTGAACCAAACATGGCACACAGAACTCCCATGACCAACAGAAAATACTGGAAGGGTTTGATGGGTATTGACCTTGAGTTTGGGAGTTGTAGTTCACCTACATCCAGAGAGCACTGTAGACTCAAACAATGATGGATCTGAACCAAACTTGGCACGAATATTCCATATGTCCAAATATGAATACAGATGGAGTTTGGGTGAAATAGACCCTGACATTTGGAGGTTGTAGTTACTGGGATTTATAGTTCACCTACAATCAAAGAGCATTCTGAAGCACACCAACGAGAGAATTGGGCCAAACTTCCCACAGAGAACACCCATGACCAACAGAAATGCTGTCTTAAGGCCATCCAGTCCAACTCCCTTCACCAGGGCAAGAAAACGTAATCAGAGCCCTCCTGACAAAGAGCCATCCAGCCATAGATATATTTATTTATTTATTTGCTTTATTTCTATACCGCATTTTTCAGCCTAATTAGGCGACTCAATGCGGTTTACACAATGCAGGTTATCACAACAATAAACAGTTAAAAACACATCATACTCAACAACAAAATCAACAATTATTGTCAATTCATGACGCCTCGATAACAAAGCAAAATCCATTCTCATAATCCTTGTGCCATTCCTATGTTCAATTTTACCGTCTTCCTGTGTTCAGTTGCACTGTTTAGGCAAACGCTTGCTCGTAGAGCCAAGTCTTAACCTTCTTCCGAAACGCCAGCAGCGAAGGGGCCTGTCTGATGTCTACAGGTAGGGCATTCCATAGCCGAGGGGCCACCACCGAGAAGGCCCTGTCCCTCGCCCCCGCCAACCGTGCTTGTGACGCAGGCGGGACCGAGAGCAGGGCCTCCCCGGACGATCTTATATAGAACCACTGCTGTTTCTACTGTTTCTACTGTTTGTGAACCGCTGTGAGTCGCCTTCGGGCTTGAGATACAGCGGTATATAAGCAAAGTAAATAAATAAATATATATATATATATATTAATCACACACAGAGAGAGATACAGTATCATAGATTTGAAAGGGACTCCTAAAGAAGGACAATGATATATTGCATGTTCCAGAGTAGGCAAACCACATTAACAATGACAAAGAAACAAGAAGAAATACTGTTTACCTACAAGCATAAATAAATTACATATATTAGAAACCAACACTTTCTCATTACTTTATTTTCCAGATCACCAGACAGGGCCACAGCAACGCGTGGCAGGGGACAGTTAGTGATTTATAGAACATTTCTCCCTGTGTCCATTTGGCAGGGGAGAAATTCCGTTCTTTTTAATCCTCATGGCTTCCCGTAGGCATAAGTCTCAGAGGCCGCCTCTAGGAATTTTCTTTTTTTTTCGGACTTCAACTCCCAGAGTCGCCGGTCATTGGCCAAGCCGGCTAAGCCTTCTGGGAGTTGAAGTCCCAAGTTGGGGCTCAGCCCTGAGCGTGTGGGCGTGGCTGAGGGAGGCTTCAGTCACCATGGCGACGCCGAGGCGCTGGCTGGGAATGGCGCTGCTCCTGCTCGCGCTGAACGCGGGCCTCGCGGGCGGGCAGGCCTTCTTTCTCCCTTGGCAGCAGCCTCAAAGCTGCGCGGCCACGCAGTACTTCGACATCGCCAGCCTCTCCTGCGGGCAGTGCGGGGCTTCCCAGACCAAAGGCCACCGCGGTGAGGCCACAAGGGCGGTCGCGACGCGCGCCTCCCTCTGCGGGGCATCTGCACTGTGGAAGGAATGCGGTTTGACACCAGTTTTAACTCCCATGGCTCAGGGCTGTGGAATCTTGGGAGTTGTAGATTGGTGAGGCAAAACTATAACTTCCATGAGCTCATAGCATTGAGTAACCGCAATTAAAGCGGTGTCAAACTGTATTAACTCCTCAGTAT